AAAGATATGGATGGGCCACGTCTGTGTTAAATATATTTGAGGCCACGTTCCCGGAGAGGAAGGCAATTGAGGTCTTTTTATCAATGATTTTATATTGAYAGTCGATAATCGATATAATTATATAAATATACTTATTTGGCCTCAATTGTACCCCTTATTAGTTATTTACCGCTGATAAGACCGTTAGGTCCTATCTATACCTTTATTATCTATTATTATAGTTCATTTATAGGTTATATCGTTTATTTAGTATTTACTATTTATTATTTTATGTAACAATTATTGATCATTTTAAAGAAAAAAATTTGATTTAGAATTTACCCATTAAATATAGTCTATTCATACAGTACGTATAAATTTATATACAAATTAATCAGTTAACTTTGAGATGAGTTTGAAAATTTAAAACTTTAGTAGTTAGGAATACAGACTTRTATCTTGAAGAACTAATATTATTTTAATTTTTAACACATTTTAAATATATAAGATAAATGCAAATATCTTATACGACTTATTTTTGTTAKTCAGAAATAATACATTTATATGTTTCAATAGATAATATTGACTGAAATATGATTAAAGTATTCAAAACTGAATGATAGACCTAAAATCTAAAAATGATGAAACGTAGAGATTTTTATCAATTTTTTTTAAATTTAAATAACTGAAYAGAAGGTCTTAAAGTTATAAATGTGTGTGGTAGTGTTAAATGATCACAAATYCTAAAAATGTAACTAAATCAAGTGATAACTGTACAATGAAATGATTTTCGATGGATTGAATCGTATAGATACCAAGGAATAGGTTCCTTGTGAAGGATAATGATATTTTGTGCTGATGAAAGGTTCAATTATTAATTTTAGGGAAAACAAAAAGGCTTTACTCACGGAGCTTATGTCCCCCATGTAAGAAAATGCGGCCAGATAGAGAACGGTAAGTCCACCGGCCATGGACGTGGGTATGGATTCCACTAGACCGGCCACCTCCATCCTCAGCTCGTTAAAGTAGTGCACGCAAAGTAACAAGCCAATGTTCCTGACAATTTCACCGATGACCGGGACGAGCATACACGGTTTGCGTTTCCTGTTTCGATCGCTCCACGACCCGATAAATATGACCAATATACACGGTATGCTGCTTTGGATCATCATTTGCCATATGAGCATGTCGGCTACCAGCTGCTGCACTTGAACTTCTTGGTCAGCGTAGAACGACAAGTTCTTGTTTTCCAGTCCGTAACAGACGTCGTCGTCCATCTTCAGGTTTACCCTGCATGCCTTTTGCARGTTGAGGTTCTGTGTGGTTAAACTTGACAACACAGACGACACCTGATAGAACGCCAATAGCGGTTCCACTGTGATGTTTTGGAACACATATTTCACTCTGGAACCGAATCCCATCCGTCGCCAACTGTCACCGTCTTCGTCTTCCGGTGTGAAGCTTTTAACTTGTTGGTTCGTTTCCATTGTACCGTAATGTTTTACCACAGCTCTAGTAGAAACTCTACAAGAATATATTTTGAATTGTATTATGTTTACTGTTATTTGCTTATGTATATAAATTACGAACATAGAAAATTGGAACATTAATGCGTGTTTTGCATTCCAAACCAATCAATCAATTATAATATTAAYATTCATATAAATTTATTATTATAAAGAATATAAAATCCAGAATCGGGAAGATTGGAGTACAATCATGGTGGTGGTGAAAATTCTTAAAGAATTGTAAAACCAAACAAAAAAAAGAAGAAGGAAATCTATTATTTTTTTTTAAAATTTATCTCTCAAAAATAAATTACTTATAAACACAGTTTTTGTATTACAAAATAGTGTAAAAATAGCATATATACGACGTACCTATATATACGTGTATAATATATTGCATTCTGTGAATAATATGAATGCCCAATAAAATACTGTATCTTAAAGAATTGTTAAAACAGAAAAAGAATACCAATTTAATGATTTTAATATAATAATTGACAAAAAAAAATGTCTWATAATTAACATTTTCCAATTTTGGGCAAGTGTTTAATATTAATAAGAAGTGCGTGTTAAACATTAATATTTTACTGTTTTAGAGTAAAATACTAAAATTGATTAAGATTAGTTTTTTACCAATCAAATTCTTGGGGTGGTTGTTCAAAATTCCTGCAAAATTATCTCAAAAAATACTTSCTATCAAAAATACTTATAAAATAATTTATTATTATGTACTGTATTTTACATGCACAACTTAAAATTATACTTAAATTATCTTTGGATAACGATAGTTCTGCTGAACGATAATCAGAGAAATACATTTTTGTTTTGGTTGATAATTGGAATTCCATTGATAATAGTATAGTACTTATCTAATGTAATACTACTATATTATTTCTATGGCTTATATAATTTAATTTTTAATTCATTTTAATTAAAAATATTAGTATACTATATTGTGCTATTTTAATATAACAYGTTTATTTTGTCAGTTAAATATTGAGTTTTAGAGTTTTATTTTCAGCAGCTATAATTGACTCGAGATACTATTTTCTAAAGATATTTTTTCCGAAGACCAATAACTGAATCTTTTGGTTCGATGAAATCGTATGCAACAAAATAGGTTTCATATACTTTTATTTA